GGCGGCGGCTGCTGCGGCGGCGGCTGCATCATCCCGGTCGTGGCTGACGGCTGCTGCGGCTGCATCATGCCTGTCGAGGCCGAGAGCGACGTCGCGGGCGGCTCCTCCGTGGAGACCTTGCGCGGCACAAAGATGTTGGGCCGAGGGGGCATCGGCGAGGCTGCGGCGGGCGACTGGTGAGCGCCGCCGGGCTGGTACCCCTGCGGCGGCCGCGGCGGCGGCTGCCGCGGCGGCTGAGGCGCCGGACCCCGTGGCTGCGGCGCGTACGGGTGCTGCACGGGGGCACCGGGCGCCGCCGACTGCGGTGCAGCGGGCTGGTACTGGAACGGCTGTGCTGGGCGAGATGGTGGTGTTGGACGAGCGGGTGGTGGGCCTGCAGGCGGCGGGCCCGCGGGCCGCCGCGCTCCCTGGCCCGCCCACTGCTGGTCCTCCTGCTCCCAGTCGTCCCAGCCCGCGCCTCCACGCTCCGCCCGCATCCACACTCCAGCGATAGGTTCCTCTTTCAGCGCCCCCCAACAGGTGCCGCGCCGGAGAAAAGAATTCTTCATACGCCTCTCTCACAGCACACTGGCACACCGCCCTGCCACCCACGTGAGCCTTTTGGCCGCCTCTGTCAGTGTGCCCGTGGTAGTGAGAGACTGCTGGTGAGAAGCCGGAGGAAGGTCGCTAGTCGAGAGAGATCGCCAGTGGAATAGGGAGTCCACCGTGCTGCGAGCCTGTCGCTGTCCCTTGTCAGGAGCAGGAGAACTAGGAGAGCGCAACCAGTAGGAGGCCCGCGCCTGCCCCCGTGCCGCCGGGTGCAACCTGTCCTATACGAGAGAGGAATCCCTGGGACCCTGTCGTGTGGGTGAACCCTGCCCAGCCCCCCTCCGTGTCGCGATGCGCTCCCCGCTCCCGTTCCCCTGTGTCCCTGATCGTCCTTCCAAGATCCTGCTCGTGCAGGTGGGGACCCTGTCCCTCTCCCACCCCTCGTTTGGCGTGCCCGTTTTATTTATTTATTGCGACGTGTGCAGTCCGTGTGTGCACAGCACCTTCTGAATCTCAACCACGCTCTTCGCCGCCATGCTGTCAATCAGGTCACCGACGTGCGGGTGTTTGGCCAGCTCTCTCTTGACCAACGGGTTTGGCCCCTTGAACTCGCAGCACACCGTGTTCTGATTCGCCCTGTTGTTCGCCACCGCGACCGAGATCTGCGCCGTCCCATACTCGCGGCGCGACTGCGCAGTAGCCCGCTCTCCCGCTTGGCATCGACGGAGAAGCTCCGAGAAGTGCGCCACAGCACTCTCGGCAATAGATGCCTCCTCCTGCATCCCAGGCACGAATGACATCCCTGCCACGCCTGCTGCTCCTGGTGGTGCCGCCACAACCGACGGCGCCACCACCGGCATCGCCACCAGCACAGCCGCCGATGGCATCGGCACTGGCACCACTGGCACCACTGGCACGGGCACCGGCGCCGGCACCGGGATCGTCGTCACGGTTTCGATCTCCATGGCGGAAGGCCCTGCCTCTGCCTCCGCCTCCGTCTCCGCCGCATCCACCTCGGCGATCGTCGCCGCCACCGCCGCGGCCTTCCTGGGCAGGGACGGCAACTTTTGCAGCACAAGCGAGCTGCCCCACGCCCCACGACGTGCACCAGTCCACACGGCTGGCTCGCAGCTGCACACGAGAGCCTGCAGCTCCCCGGCCGCGCGCGCCCCCCGCGCGTGCCGCGAGCGCGAGCCGCGACGGCCGACCCCCGGCCCGCGCGCGCGGGCGCGGCGGCGTCTCCGCACGCGCACCTCCGGAGACTCCGCGCGCCGGCGCGACCGGCGAGAACGAAGCCGCGACGAGCTTCTCAGCTGAGCTCTACAGCTGGCCTCAGCTCACAAGTCACACCGTTTTTGTACAGAATGTGTAGTGCTCAGTCCTCAGACCTCAGGAAGGGCTGCCGTCTTTCTTTCGATTCATCGCATTCGTATGGAGAACGCCGAAACCGCGCAGAGGCCGCAACGCGGCAATGGCAAAGGAGCGAGCTCCGTCCCTCTCGGCACACCGGGAGAGCAGCGGCGGCGCGGGGGGAGAGAGAGAGGGGGGACATAGGCACGGCACGGGGCTAAAGGAGGCAGGCATGCTGCCGCCGGTCACTTTGTGAGGAGCAGCTCCTCCTTCTCCTTCTTGACCTGCTCCAGATACGGGCCAAGGTACGACTCGAACGGGTCCAGCTTCTCGGCAACCTCCGGCGGCAACTGGGGGCGGGGGGGGGGGGGGGTGTCAACGGTGGGCGTCGCACGCAGACGCGCCAGTTCTTGGCGTGCGCTCAAGCGGGGGGCGTGTGCGCCGGGCATGTTCCGTGGTGAGGTGTTCTGCAAGCTCTACGGCGTGCAAGGCGGCGGCGGCGAGGGCGGCGGACGAGGCGAGGGCGGCGGCGGCGGCGAGGGTGGCGGCGATGGCGGTGAGGGAGACATCCGAGGGCGGCGCATGCGAGGGGGAAACGCAGGGCAGTGGCGAGGGAGCCGCTGAGGCGGCAAGAAGACGCTTGGGAGAGCGCGCGCGCCATCCTGGTGTGACTAGAGGGGAGCTGGGGAATCTCGGGTGGCCTAAGATGACTGCACACACCGTCTTGATCTGACTCGAGAGCACCATCGCACGCTTCAGCCGCTGCTCCCTCGCATTCAGCACCTACAGGGGCAAACAGCGACGGCGTGGGTGCGGGTCCCGAGAGGGCTGATGCCGCGCGCGCGTCGTGAGCACGTCAGGCGGCAGCCGCTTCAGCGCGAGCTTCACCTCCTCCGTTTCAATAAGGCAGTCCTCGTACAGCAGCCCTGCGACACAGCGGTGAGGGTGAGGGGCGAGGGTGACGCAGGGTGAAGCCGGAAGGTGCGAGGGTGACGGCAGGGTGAGAGGCGCCAGCCAGAAGCTTGTGAGCGCCGAGCACTACCGCCAGCAGATCGCCATCGGATCCGCCCAACCGCTTCGCGGCACGACGGCAGCGAGGTGGGTGCGTCTCTGCGCGTGTCTGAAAAATCTCGGTGTCTGCATCCCAGCGCGAGCGCGACCGGCCGCCAACATGCTATCCACGCGGCGTCGGCGCAGCGGTCTCGTGGGCGGGCCGCACCGTGATTTGACAGCTCCCTCCCAACCTTGGCCCGGTAGGCCGTGCTGGCGCGGTTCCACAGCGACGCGAGCATCTCCCTGCGGCGAAGGGCAGCGCTCAACAGTGAGCGGTGGGCTGCTTCGCGCAGTTGCATGCTCTTCAAGTGGCGGCGGCGCGGCGGCGCGCGCAGCGGCGCGGGCGACGGGCCCTTGCGCAGCGGCACTGCGCGTGCTCTCTCACACAACAAACACCCAGCGCGTCTTCAGGACTCTCTCTGCACGCGCTCACAGCCGCAGCAATCCTGCGTGTGGCACTCCCGCTCTGCCGCCCGTGGCCGTGGCCGTCTGGCCCACGCGTCTGAGCGGGCGCGGCGGCGGAGGAGGAGGGACGCTGAGGTCTCTGCCTGCTGCGTTTGTGCGGGTTGTGGAGGGTCTCACCGCAGCGCTGTGACAAAAAAATGTATTATCCTAACGGTGTGGGGGCGCGGAGGGCTTGTTGGCGAGCCAAAATGGTGTTTTCCGAGGCGCTGCGCTAGGCTCAGAGCGAGTTCGCGCTGCGCTAGGCTCAGACGGCGAGTTCGCGCTGCGCTAGGCTCACAGATGCGAGTGCGCTGCGATAGAAGAAAAAACAGGGTCGAAACGACAACCGAAGGGAGGACTGTGTAGTGTAATCATGTGTCAAGAATCACGTGCTGCTGCTGCTGCTGCTACTGCTGCTGGCCTGCTGCTGCGCGGCGAGCGCCGTCGCCGAGGCGGGCCTCGGCGGAGAGCGCGATTATGCGGCCTTTTCCGCGACCCGCACAAAGAAGAGGCGCCCTCCGTCAGCCTCGACCTGCCACCGGCTCGCGTCGACCGACCCGGCCGCGTGCCACACCTCCACAGCCCAGTGCGCCAGCCCGCAGAAGTTGCCCTCCTCGATGCCCCATCCCGTGGGCCACGCGGCCAAAGCGGTGCCGAGAGGCGGCGGCGGCGCCGCGGTCGCCTCGAGACGCGCCGCGACGGCGTCAAAGGCGATCCGCCTCGCGCCCGTCGCGGCCGCCTCGGCCAGCAGCGCCTCCCCGGCCAGCCGCGGGAGGTCGCCCTCCGTCTCGAACCAGCACGACGAGCGGCCGTCGGCGCACGCCTCGTCCCACGCCTTGAGCTGGCGGACAAAGGCCGCCAAGCTCTTGAGGCCGGGCGAGGGCGCGGCGGGCGACGGGGCAAGGGAGCAGCCGGGCGAGGAGAGGTAGGAGGTGCTCGCC